TTCTTATCCGACGGGTTGGAATATTGGTTTTGATAAATACAAATTTGAAAATGTAAAATAATAACAACAATTTGTAGTGGTACCGTGGTAGGCATAGTGACACATAAGAGCATTTCCAGCAAGCAGGCTGGGGGAGGGCTGGGGGGGGGCTGGGGGAAAATCTTGTTTCCAGCAACCCAAAGCTGCCAGGGCAAGGTGTGGGCCCCAGAAAAAAAAATTTGCCTGGGCTAGCCCTCGGGCAGGTCCAGCCAAAACGAGTTTTGGGCCTACGTCAGCGCGCTGACGTCACGACGACGTCAGCGCAGCTGTTTAAATTTTTTTAACGTTGGCGCGTGCAACGCACACGCCAACATTAAAAAAAATTTGACGCGCCCGCTACAGTGCCCCGCCAAAGGATCTATTCCACGTGGCGCGCACTGAAGCTGTCCGATCAAAGTTGTTCAAAATCCAACGCTTCTCATTTTTCGCGAATAAAAAAATGAAAAAAAAAATCGGAAGTTGCACCCAACGGCTCTCTTCCACGTGGCGATGCGCTGGCGCTCCGATGAAGTTCTTCCAGCAATCCAACGGCAGCTGTTCAATCTGGCCAAAAAATAATGAAAAAAATTGAAAAAAAAATCGGAAAAAATTTGAAAAAATACCCAAAAAAATACTGATGTTTTTTCCTATAAATACCAACAAATACTCTTCACTTTTAACACCACCTCTTCATACATTTTCTTCTCATTCTACCATTATTCACTTTCTAGTCTAAATTTTTTTCACTTTCAAGTTGAATTTTTCTAGAAAAATTTATGGGTTCTTCTAGTGAAACCGGAGGGGCATGGAGTGTCATGGAAGATGTTAGCTTGTGTGAGTCTTGGCTCCACATTAGTCATTGTCCCGTATCGGGCAATGAGATGAAATTCTGTCATATGTGGAAAAAAATTCATCAGGATTTTTGTGAAAGGGTAATTGGTACGACCCGTACAGATCAAGCACTATCTAGTAGGTGGAAAATTCTTAACAAAGAGTTGGCGAAATGGAGGGATGCCTTGGCAAAGGCGATGGACAACCATAGAAGCGGGGAAAACCTTACCAGTGAGGTAAATTATTTGTAATTTTTGTTTTATTAATTTCTATGTCATATTAAAGTTAATTTAAATATTTCTTGCAATTTATATATTTTGTTAATATTTCTTGTATTTCCAATATTAATATGAATGTTTGTTGCAATATTTAAATTTTGTTTTTCATTTCTAATAAATTGTTAAGGTTTCTTGTATTTCCATTATTATTTTTTAATACTTGTTGAATTGCCAATAATTTTTAAAGTTTCTTGCATTCTTATTTTTTTTTATAGACTATACAAGCACAAATGTTTTTTGGTGCTACTGGGCAAGGAAAAAAAAGCTTCAACCATACCCATTGTTGGGAGGTGGTGAAGAATTGTAAGAAATTCCAAATTATTCCAACGGGTCCGACGGTAGTCTTGAACGAGACGCCACTCTATGAGACACCGGCATCGGATTCACCTATGGATTCCCCGATGAGTCAAGACTCACCTATCGAAAAGGAGCCGAGGCCTATTGGGAGGAAGGCGGCGAAGGCGAAGAGAGGGAGTAATTCTACCAAGTCATCATCTAAATTTTTGGAGGAACTTTCAAGGATGCAAGCCATGAGAATTGAAATGGACATGAAACAACAAGAGCACGATAGGGCAATTGATGTAGAAAATGCAAAAGAAAGGGAGTATGTACGCCAACAAAGGGAGTATGCACGCCAAGAAAGGGAGTATGCACGACAAGAAAAGATTGAAAATAAGGATCGGGAAACAATGGCCATGGATACAACCCATATGTCCCCTGACACAAAACAATATTGGAAGCTAGAACGAAGGGATGTTATGAGACGAAGACTTTTTCGTGACGATGGACCTAGCAACACGGATTGGTTAAATGATCAAAACAATTAAGTTAGTTTGCTTGCCTTTCATTTCATTGTACCATTAAATTAGTTTGCTTGCCTTTCATTTCATTGTACCATTAAATTAGTTTGTTTGCCTTTCATTTCATTGTACCATTAAATTAGTTTGCTTGCCTTTCATTTCATTGTAATTTTTTTTTATTTAAAAAATTAGTGGTAATTCATGTATTTTATTTTATGAGTTGTATTGATTTTCTTGTAGTGAATGAAGAAAATATTCAACAAAATTCCAAAACATTAAAAAGCAAACCACAACCAAAGCATAAAAAATAAACAAACCACAACCAAAGCATAAAAAATAAACAAACCACAACCAAAGCATGAAAAAAACAACAAAGCATAACTAAAAATACAACATAAACATAATGCACTAAAATAACTTCTTCACTTGACTTCATTGACCTTCATTGCCTTTCACCGCCCACAAATGCTCCATCAAATCAACTTGACGGTGTTCATGAATATACGACGATTGCATCTCCGTGTAGCGCTCAATCATGCGATGCATGAAAGTACCGTCTCTAACTAACGGATCATGCTGCACTGGTTCTCCATTTGGCCCCATAGGTTTTTCATAAATTCGTGTTAAGGTCGTGTTCATGGGATCTGGCTCATACACTTCCTCAACATCATAATCATACTCATCTTCCACAATCATGTTGTGGAGGATGATACAAGTCATCATTATACTTCTGAGCACCTCCTCGTCAAATAGACGCGCGGCGCCCCTGATAATAACCCACCGAGCTTGAAGGATACCAAAGCACCTCTCCACATCTTTTCTGTACCCCTCTTGATAGGCAGCAAAAAAATTTTCCTTCTCGGATCGGGGATGTGGAATTGATTTCACAAATGTTGTCCATCTCGGGTAGATACCATCAGCTAGATAATACCCGTTTTGATACACGGTATTATTGACTTGATATGTGATATTTGGGCATTCACCTCTCAAAATATCATTGAACACCGGGGATTGACCAAGGACGTTCAAATCATTTTGAGAGCCGGCAACTCCAAAGAAGGCGTGCCAAACCCAGGTATCAAAACCAGCAACTGCTTCGAGGATGATGCTTTTCTGCCCTTTCCGATTACCATAATCCCCTTGCCAAGCAGATGGACAATTTTTCCATTGCCAGTGCATGCAGTCAATGCTACCAATCATTCCAGGAAATCCACGAGACTCAGCTTTTTGTAGAAGCCGTTGCAGGTCCCTGGGCGTAGGTCTGCGCAGGTAGTCCATGGTGTACAGATTTTCCACTGCATCACAAAATCGCACCAAGCTCTCCAAAATAGTGGACTTCCCCATCCGGGCAATCTCATCCACTTGATCAGCAGATGACCCATACGCCAACATTCGTATCACAGCTGTGAACTTTTGCTCGGGAAGCAGCCCCAAATCTCCAGCACAATTTTTCTTTTGAACAAAGTAGTCATCATAATTGCAAATATCATGCATGACTTTATTGAACAAATGGGGTTGCATTCTATATCTTGCTCGAAAATGAACATCAGAGTACAGAGATTGTGGGATAAAATAATCTTCCAGAAGATTCTTACCCCGAGAATGTCTATGTCTGTCCACATTCGATGCCCGGCCTTCTCGTGAACCACGACGGCTCTGGTTTTCTTCCTCCATCAAAGCAACGGCCACACCAAGTTGCTCATCTAGTTCTCTCTGCGCCCTTTTGCTTGCAGCTCTTCTGCGCATTCTTGCTCGCCTTTCTCGCTCTTGCCTATCCAAAACATCTTCCATGTCTGACATTGAGAATGGAGAATGAAATCTAAAATCTGAGAAATGAAATCTAAAATATGAGAAATGAAGATGCAGAGAAGATATGGTGTGGGAGGTATGAGCTGAGCCTCTGGTTTTATAGAAAAATTTAGACAGATAGAGATGACACGTGGCGCAATTTTAGAGGATGAAAATCTTATCTGAAATTTGAAATTCAAATGAAATTTGGAATTGGTAATTTATCTGGAATTTGAATTTCGAAATGTATCTGAAATTCAAATTTTGAATTTATCTCAAATTTGAATTTTGAAATGTATCTGAAATTTGAAATTTATCTGAAATTTATCTGAAATTTGAAACCGAAAATCTTATCCGATATGAATAGTATTGACACGTAGGAACCCAAAAATCTTATCCGAAAATATTATCCAAATTAATTGTTTAAATAAACAAAGTTGTGAAAAAAACAAAAAAATGAATAGTATTTGCCATGGCAAGGGGCTAACTGCTGGAAACACACATTTGCTGGGGGGGAGCTAGGGCAGCCACTATTCACGTGAATAGTAACTGCCCTAGGGCTCCCCTTGCCATGGCAAGGGGCTAACTGGTGGAAATGCTCTAATGGATGCTTAGCTGGAGATGAACCCAAATTTAGAAAAGAAAAAGATGTATGTTTACTAAAAAAATTACTCTAAAATTCATTTGACGACATAAATTAGCTATATATAGCTCACCATGATGTTAAATTCCATGATTTTTTTTTTCTTTCCAAAGATGGATTATGATCATAATCTGACTATGGTCGAAATTACATATATAAAACTTGAATTTGAATCCATTTGATCACTCAATTAATGGTTGTCATTTTAGTAATTTCTTGAAACACCATGTTTACCTATTTCGTTGGTCACTATTTTTTTTAGAGTCATGCTAGGGAGACCATCTTTAGATACCAACTTGTAAATTATCTCTCTAATAAAGGTGAAGCCCATTAATACAATGGGTATTGCATCTATTAAAGAGATGGTATACAAGTAGGTCTCTAAAGTTAGTCTCCCTAACATTTTCCTTTTTTTTAATACAAGCACTAGTCTAAATTACAAAGGAAAAATGGGTTTCTCACACACATACACTAGCAAATGCGTAGAGATAATAGAAAAGTTGTTGTTCAAACTTACACAATGAGGCACAATTGTATTGCATATGTATAAGGATAAATTGCCAAAAACCCCCCTGAACTATAACGCTTGTCGAAATGTCCACCTTAAATTATTTTTTTAGCCAATTTATCCATTAGACTATTTTAAATGGTCAATTTAGCCCCTGCCGTTCGTTTCGATGTAGTTTCATCCAATTTTCTGTTAAAAATAATTAAATCTTTAAAAACTGAAAAAGCGAAAAGGTAGAGGTTTCAAAAGACAACTCTTGCCTGAAAAGCTGTTGACAATCAAACAAGGTTTCCTTCCCTGACAGAAAAGAATGGAGTCCACTGGATCTGATACTGACTCTCTCACCTTGTCCTCGACATTGCTCGATTCCCATATCCTTCTTCTTGCTTAGGCAACTTAAACAAACAAAAAATAATTAAACAAACCTAGCAATCAACGTCTTCCCCACCTTAACAGACTTGTACATGAGGTCCACGGTGGGCACAATGGCCAAGCTGGGAAAGAATTTGGCCAAGAACGTTAGAATTTGAGGAATTGGCCACCTGGGTTTCACCTTATCATAAAGTTTACACATGGGTGCCACCAAAATCGCCCCTTGAACAGCTTCCAGATCCGCAAAGTGGATCATAAGGCAAATGGCGCCGCCCATGAACTCGCTGTAGAGAAAATAAGGGACGTTTAGAAATTGGGGTTCTTGCTGCTTGACTAGGGTGAAGAAAGCGAGGCAGTCTTGGACCATGAGATGGACGCCGGGGACGAAGGCCCTGAGGCTGTGGGATTGGATGTGGCCTTCGAGGTCGAGAGTGAAGCAGGCGAAACCCTATTGGGCGAGGAAAATTGGGGTGGCTTGGAAGGTCCAGCAGATTTCGTTGTCGTAGCTGTGGACCATGAAGATGAGGCCATGCTGAGGGGAGAGGAAGGGCAGGTTTTGTTTGTTTTTGTTTTTACAATTTTTATAAATATTTTTTAATATTGTACTTTATAAAATAACAAACTTACCCTTATAATTGACAGAAAATTGGATGAAAGTGTAGAAACTTGACGGTAGGTGTTAAATTGGCGATAAAATTTATTATAAGGGCTAAATTGGCTGAAAAAATAATTTATGGTAGACATTTCAACAAGCGTTATAGTTCAGATGGGGTTTTCGGCACTTTACCCCTATGTATAATTAGAAAGTGACGGTGGAGTAACCTTAGTTGCTGGATACATTTGGTAAGTAAATAAATTTACAATCAATGATATAATCAAGACCACAACCCTCCCCAGCCCTCGCAATGAGGGGTAATTGTAGTCTAGTTTTCCATGGTAATGATAAGGATTCATCTTCATTATCCCCTCTTAAACTTCCATCATCCTCGAGAAGTCATTTTGCTGCATTTTCAAGCACAAGAGCTGGTATATCGAACTCTGAGCAGCACCCTAATTATAATTGGATACGTTAGTTTATCACCCCCGAAACAAAGTAAATGGGAGAGGAACAACACGAAGTTTGGAGATAAAGAAAAAAAAACGAGGCAAGGACTACCCTTTAGAAAGGACAATGCTCGACTTCTGATTTCCTCCTTAACACAAGATGTGGCCTCTTAGAGCATCTCCAACCGATGTGTCAAAAGTGCCACATAGACATTTAACGGCTAGAAATAACATCTCACATTACTCCAACCGATGTGTCAAAGCTGATGTGGAATGAAGGCTGGAGGTTGAGATGTTATTTTTGACATCCCAAAAGCAAGATGTCAAATGAATATTTTATTATTTTTAAAGTTAGTTGGTTGTTACTTTCATTTATTATTTTCCTTTTTATATTATTTTTCTTCTTTATCTTAAATGATTTGACTGTTACAATAATTATTTATTTGACATATCGGGTGGAGTGTAAAACTGTGTAAATGTCAAATTGCCATATCAGCCATCAAATTTAAATTTGATGTTTGATATTTGACATCTCCCTTGGAGATGCTCTTACAAAATAACACCTTCTTTTTTTTCTTTCATCGTCTCTCTCTCTTTCTCTCTCTTCTCACCTACTCGCCTCTCCTCTCCTCTCATGCTCTATATTCTCTTATCTCTCCATCTCTTTCCGTGCAACTCAGATCTAGAGGAGAGAGAGTGACACTGGAGAAATTTTTTATCCCCCAAGTTATACCTTGTTCTTCCACCATTCCCAAAATTTCTAAAACTCCCCAATAAGTAACTCAATAAAATTAAAAATTAAAAAAGAGAGAAATTAATACATAGTGTTTGGGTGATGAAAGTGGGTGAGAAGAGGGAGAGAGGGAGAGTCAGTGAAGAGAAAAAAAATACGTGTCGTGTTTTAAGAAGGCTACATCTTGTGTCAGGAGCCAAACACGTATCGCATTTTAAGGAGGCTACATCTTGCGTAAGGAGCCAAACATTGTCCCTTTAGAAAAGGCATCAACGATTTGACCGTCAGGGGCCGCAAAACCAACATGTAAGGCATGAGAGATAACGTGTTCTGTTTGGAAATGTATACTCGAGTTCCCAATATAGTTTTTATTTCTCACATACATGTCATTGTCAAAGTAGACTGCCGATTGGATGGTGACTAATTCTGACCACATGTTAACTTGTATACATACGTGTGCATCATAGATATTTCTTTTTCTTGTATTTGTTTTGGTATACGTAATTATTTGCTCATTGTCTTCCAGTGATCTATTAATTATCGATTGCAAAAGACAGAGTGCTCTAGATAATAACGTTAAACGAAGGTTTTGGAATCATGAAATTATCAAGGCCATTCCATATTGAGTATGTTTTAAAATCTGATCCTATTCATGAAAGATAATCAAGTGAGTTGCAAAGAGATATTATCAGCAAAAAATTACTTGAATCTGAAATCACTTTTGACTACATAATAACTTGAAAATACCTGCAGGATGACTCAAAATGCCTAGAGGAGGGTGAATACGCCAATTTAAGATTCTAATCAAATAAATAAAAATAAACTTTGGTAGCAGGATTGATATGGCTTATCAATCCTGTAACGTGCTGGGCATAAAATAAAAGAACACGCAGAGAATTATTTTACGTGGTAAAACCCCACATCTGGGGAAAATCCACGGGACTCCTCAGTCCAACACAAATCCACTATAGAACGATGATTACAAGAAGTACTCACACACTTATCCTAGACACATTCTAGATAATGTTTACCGACTTCTTCATAACTCAACTTCTGTCACGGGATGATCTTCGACACTCCTTATGTTGAACGCAATACTGGCCACGATTGCTTCAAGCTCACCGGAGGAAAACCGCCACCACGGTCTTGGTGCCCTCAACCGTATGAGTCACCGACATGCATATGAATGCAATATGAATGATTAAAGTGTTTGATAAATCACCAAGTAAACATTGAACACTTGATGATTTATCTCAAATATACGCACAACAGCTTTTCTTAGAATTCTATATGCTCAGAACAAATATCTCAAAAGCTGTACAAATAAAAGAATGGCACATGATCTTTTATACAAGACTTGTTCTCTCTCATGGGAGAGAAACCCAATAAGCCACGAATATTAAACTTCCTATTGCACCACAACCTATCATCAATAAGAGATTTGATTCACCTTGGACTCAAAGTAATGACGCCTCTCTTTAAACCAAATTAACTAAGAGGTAAGCAACGTGCAAAGTCACAATAGGAAAAGATAATATTTTAACTTCAATTAAAATAGAGTTGAACTAGGAAAGTAATCTCAAGAGATTAAATCTAATCTTATTAAAAATAAGATTAAGATAAAAATACTTTGAGTGAAAATAACTCAAACTAGGAATCCTATAATGAATGCATGATTATGTCATGATTTACCTTAAATCAGATTCCTCATATCGGTCAAGTCATGCTTTGGAAACCTGAGATTGAATGTGTTGCGCCAAAACGTCTAGTAAACGATATTCACACACTAACTCCCAACCTATGCTAGAGTCTAGGAAATGACAATACAAATTTCATACTAACAATCTCCCCCTTAGGCATTTCCTAGACAAAACACCTATTACAACTCAAAAGAAATTACATGGGATTTAACAAATGAATTCTTATTCTAAGCTTGAAGCCCTGAATCCCTGCACATTATGAAACAACAAAACCAGTGAAGCATGTGGGAGAAGAAATGTAATTCAAAGCAGAATTACAACACAACTCCCCCTTAATTCCATAACACAATCTCTCCCCCTTAATTCCACAACACAATCTCTCCCCCTTTTTGTCAGGAAATCGAAAGAGCAAAGAATGAACATAAGGGAGCATATATAAGAGGGAATAAAAAATAAAAAAATCAGATTGCATTCCCAACATATAAAGACATAGAGAATAACCAATAAAGCATGTAAGAGGCTTTATCTTGAAAACAAACAGAAATTTTTTTTTTTTTTTTTTTGGATAAGCGACAGGAAAATAGAGAACTAAAAAGAATAATAAGAAGTTGTTAAGAACCAAAACATACAAAAACAAAAGCAATACACTCAAGACAGAAAGCTCAAAACAATCAAGACATAAAACATATTGTAGATGCAGACCCAAAGTTCTCTTGAAAATATAATTATTTTCCATTCATAAACATGCCAAGTTTGTGAGTAAAGAATGAAAGAAGCAACAAACCCTTTGCTGTCTTGAACGCATGTGAAGCAAAGCATGTCAGGGACAAACACACGACAACACACGAGACTCACAAACTCACAGAGAACAGTAGAGGCATACCACAGTCATGGTGAAAGATAAAAAGGCATCAAATGAGTCTACCATCAAGGAGCAAATGTGTTAAATGAACTCTTTTTCAATTAAGCACAAAAAATATGTCCACACAAGACGAATCCCACCAAAGATTGCACAAACACTAAGTGCATAGTAAGTATAAGAAGATCAATTTATATATATATTTTTTAATACGAATTTTGTGGCTCACTTTATCTAGCTTTCGACATGATCCATGTAACGGATGGTCAATCAGTGTGCTTACGTCAGATGACTGGAGGCAACTGGGTGATGAAGCACCCCTGGGGAAATACTGATCCGAATCATGAAGGCTCCAAAGATAAGCAAGGATAGCAAACCATCACAACCTGTTGACTCGAACCTCGACGTTGGTTAGACAAGAGGCCCGGTTACTGAGCAATGAGTGGTTGACACCCTTTTTTTTTTTTTTTATTTTATTTTTATTTTTTTTATTTTTATAAACATATCAAGAACTTACGCACAGTAGTGTTATGGCAATCCAAAGAGAGACAAGTGCATGATAAGAGATATTCAAAGGACTTCAAGGAAAAGAGTGTGGTGTGCAAAATAAAATAAATAGATGGATAGATCATTTAATGAAGTTTATAATGCACCAAGACAATGGAAACCTTTGTGTGAAGCTGAGAGTGTAAGTTCTTAATATATTGCAATGTCAGAGCCCAATCTAAGATCAACAAATACGTTCAGACAGTTACAGGATTGATACACCTTAACAATCCTTGCACGAGCTGGACAGATTTATAAACACAGAAATTAATTGAAATATCATAAAACATGAAAGAGGCTTTGGCATGCAATAGACTCCAAATTAATCTAGAGCACATATACCTAAAGACTTTCTAAGAGTGTCAAATCGAAGATTATCCAAGGGTTTTGCAGCAATACATTTAAGATCCAAACTTTCTAAAGCAACGGGTTCATGCACAACATTAGTGGAGGAAGACATACAATTATGATTTTCCTTTTCCCTCCAAACTAACTTTGTCTTAGTTGACGGCAAACAATGAAAAGAAGATAGTTTGGATAAGCGGTTTACCTCTTTCATAAGATTTGAAATCTTATGTTGGATACTTACTTTTCCACCCATGCCATGAGAATTTGAACGAACAAATTCGTTTCGAAGCTTATTGCATCTCGGTCTTATGTGCCCACGAGTTCCACAAAAGTGACAAATTGGAATAAATTTCTTGACTTCATGAGAGGCAGAAGGTTCAATAGGTGAAGTGGATTTGACAAACTTTGTTTTAGACACAGCGGA